AGCACAGCTGATCTTAATCTCAAGAGAAATATATGAGAAGCAGGAGAACTCAGGTGTCCATAAGATCTTCAGTTGATATCATTGCTGTCTGGGAGACACGATACAAACATTAAAGAGATCGATCTGGAATTTTTATTTCCTATAAATTAGAATCTACATATAACAAATCTCAAAAACTGAACTTTCAAAAATCAATACTAGAATATCAGAAGCTATGATAAAGCGTATGTAGATTTGGTTTCAAGTTTAAACAGTATAAAAGGAAACGTTCCTGTAGCTCATTCCGTGATCATGGCACTAGCAACACCAGGGTCATGGATTAGATTCCCAGAGAAAGCAAGAACTGATCAAACATAAATGTGTACCTTGAATGCAATCTGATTTGCCAAATGCATAAATATAAACAATACTGTCTGAGGAAAATGTGAGTGTTTTGCCTATGCAAAACTCTGTCACTACGATAGCGTGTTCTGAGTGGTTGCCTGGGCGTTGCTATGCAGTTACTTAGCCATTCTAAGTGGTTGCTTGTGTTGCTGTACAGTTTCTGGGGTGTTCTGGGTAGCCCCCAGGGCGTTGCTATGCATGTTTACTTTAGCCGCATTCATCATGAAACTTGCTATTTAGCACATTATTAGGAAAGGCGATTTGTAACGATTCATTACAAAACATTATACTCACTTCTTCTGTAGATGAGGCTGGATCACGAATGATTCGAGCGAACATAGATGCATTTATGTAGATCGGGGGAGCATTCCCTTCAGAAACAAACGTAATCCACTGCGTCTTCAGCGGCTCAGATGTCGGGAGTAAATGACGACTGCTGTTCATTATTACATCCAACAACAGAAGTCCTCAATCGCTTAGGACTCATTCTTGTCTACATCTGCTCCGGCGGTGAAACAATGGCGGACTGATGACAGTCACTCAGGGGCGGAGCTAAGGTAAGACACCAGTCCAGTCTGTGCTGAAACGCTACTGTCAATCAAACTATCGTGGGAGGGGCCTGTCTGTGTGACGTCACACAGACAGGCATCTGAGATTGGCTCGATTTGAGAAAGGGGAAAACATTTAACCAGATTTAAAAAAAACACTGGGTGGATTTTTATCATTATAGGGTGGTTGTGTACACACACTGCCAACACACATTTCAGTTCAAACAACTTGTAAAAGTGCATGTAGCATCATATGACCCCTTTAAATCAGGCCTCAAACTTATAGAAAATTGCGAGTCAGAAGGACAGAGATATCTAACAAAATATGTTCCAGTTAAGTTCTGAATTTCTCATTAAATTTTTTTTTTAAATCAATTAAAAATAAAATTAGATGAACATTCAACTAAAATATTTTAGAAAAATCTTGTGTAAATGTTTTTGTGCTAATGTTTCAACAACCTTATTAAAGAATTAGTTCACTTCCAATTTACTCACCCCCAGTGTTCATGTCTTTCTGTCTTCAGTCGCAAAGAAATTAAGGTTTTTGAAGGAAAACATTCCAGGATTTTTCTCCATATAATGGACTTCAATGGGATCAACGGGCTGAAGGTCCAAACTACAGTTTCAGTGCAGCTTCAAAGGGCTCTACACGATCCCAGCCGAGGAATAAGGGTCTTATCTAGCGACGCGATCAGTCATTTTCTTACTTATACTAAAACTTACATACTTTTTAACCACAAATGCTCTCGTAACTTCATGCATTACGTAATGATGTTGGAAAGGTCACGAGTGACGTAGGCGGAAGTACCAACCCAGTGTTTACAAAGCGAATGTGCAAAGAAAGTCAACACCCTTTACAAAAAAAGATAAAACAATGATGTCGGTCGATTTTGAAGTTGGAGGAGAAAATTAGATTTTTACTACCCTACCTTTTTGAACGAAGAGCTAACCGCGCGTGACCTTTCCAACTTTATTACCTCATGCTTGAATTGGTTACATGCATTTGTGGTTAAAAAGTACACACATTTTTATTTTTTTTAGAAAATGACAGACCGTTTTGCTAGATAAGACCCTTATTCCTCGACTGGGATCGTGTAGAGCCCTTTGAAGCTGCACTGAAACTGTAACTGAAGTCCATTATATGGAGAAAAATCCTGGAATGTTTTCCTCTAAAACCTTAATTTCTTTGTGACAGAAGAATGAAAGACATGAACATCTTGGATGACATGGGGGCGAGTAAATTATCAGGAAATTTTTATTCTGGAAGTGAACTATTCCTTTAAAGACCTGACAACTTTGAAAGAACGTTCAGCGTTGCTGGAATAATGTTTGTTCATAACTTTGAGAGAACCTTGCCCAAAACCTTTTCGGACATTTCCCTGAAGATGATTGTTGTCCAAATGTCCAAAAACCTGTGTTTTTCCAGACACAACCTCACTAAGAATTACCTGCTATGTTTCAGTCGACACGAAAAATCTAATTCCATCTAATGTTTGATTCCAGTATTTTATTTTCACAAAGCTTAAACCAATTGTATATATATATATATATATATATATATATATATATATATAATGTGTGTGTGTGTGTGTGTGTGTGTGTGTGTGTAGAA